AGGAGAGACTAAGAACCTTAGACACTCCAGTGGGCTACTTCCTTGGCTCAGGCCTTCTGCTTTACCTGCTCCTCAGGGGCATCTGAAACACTGTAGGGAAGGACTTCAAAAAGGGGACACTTCTATCCCCGGGGGTGACAGGCTCACACTTAACCCCGTCGAGCTGATTTAAGTTAGGGTCTCCTCTGTAGTTCAGGCTGGCCTTGAATTCATGTCTGTCCTCTTCTCTCAGCCTCCTCTCAAGTACTAAAACTACAGGTGTAGCCCAGCACACCCCAGAGCACCCCTTATCCTGGAAATTGCCCTTTAAAGTGATACGGCGGCTTAAAGGGCCTGCACTATTGTGTCCACTCAGATTCACCGTCCTCTTCAGTAACTTAGTGCTCCATCTGGAAAACAGCCACATAGTTAGTCTAAAGCAGACTAACTTTAGAGCAACAAAGGGAAGTGCTGGACATGTGACACACATCTGTAATCCCAGTACTTACCAAACAGGGGCAAAGAGGTCAGGAGTTCAAAGCTACCCCATCACCAAAAAGAAAAGACTAGAAAAGGGGGGGAAGGAAAGAGAAGGGCTCTGAGCTACCTTGAGCTTTCCACTAGCAGCCACCCAGAAGCTACCTCCCTTCTCTTTGACTCCCCCACATACACCTTACCGTCTGTTCTCTGCCTTTTCCTTGACTCCTGCCACCCTGCAGGAGCTGACATGGATGTGTGCCTTACAAACTATGGTCACTGTAACTACGTGTCCGGGAAACACGCCTGCATATTCTACGATGAGGTGAGGGCCGAGATGGGTGGAAGGGAGCTTTCCCAACCTGAGATCTTTCCCCAGCATTGGGCTCTAGGGCAGGGGCAAGAGTGAGCAGAGACCTGGCCTGTCCTCCTTCCCTTGGAGGGAAGAGTACTGTAAGGCATTCCACCATGACAAGCTGCTTACAGGAGGAGCAGGCTGTCATTGCAGCTGGTGTTGCTCATAGGAACAGCTGAGGGAGGCCGCCTCAAAGCGGGGGAGGGGACCAAAATAGAAGGATGTGCCCCTGAGTTTCATCCTAAGTATGTGCCAGTGAATATCAGATCAACAGGACGGTGCTGAGGAGGCAGAGAGGTAATAAGGAGTCAGTAGGGCAGGCTTGCACAAAAAGGTGAGTGGACGAATTCTGAAAGCCACACTGTAACTGAAGAAGAGTATGTGAGCTTGCTAGGCAGAGCAGCAAGCCCTATGTCCTCTCTCCTTCGCCCAAGGCTTCACACAGCAACTACACATCGTGTCTCCCCCTCCTCCTCAGAATACCAAACATTATGAGCTGTTAAACTACAGTGAGCACGGGACAACGGTGGACAATGTGCTGTATTCATGTGACTTCTCTGAGAAGACCCCGCCAACCCCCCCAAGCAGTATTGTTGCCAAAGTGCAGAATGTCATCAGTAAGTTGGAGCAGAGGCCTGTGACCACACAGCTAAGGCCCTGGTCACCTTGGTCCTGCCATGCTGTCAATGACCTACAGTTCTTGGCCTTCCCAATCCCATTGGCCAAGCTCCTTGTTGGTGGGCCTGGGAAAGGTCACCAAGAACCAAGTGCTGAACACCCACATATGTATCAGACCTTTCTGGGGACTTGAGACTCCACCAGCCCATTCTGAGCATCCCTCAGCCCCGATCATATAGCATAGAGAATGGGGAGATGCAGGGGCCCAGTCCTGCCAATCAGCCCAGATAGGCCAGCTGTTCACTGTTCCCCTCCTATGATCATCCCCCTTTTTCCCAGGGCGCCGCCGACACCAGAAACAGGATGAAGAGCCAAGTGAGGAGGCAGCCATGATGAGTTCCCAGGCCCAGGGGCCACAGCGCAGACCCTGCAATTGCAAAGCCAGCAGCTCGAGCTTGATCGGGGGCAGTGGGGCAGGCTGGGAGGGCACAGCCTTGCTGCACCACGGCAGCTACATCAAGCTGGGCTGCCTGCAGTTCGTCTTCAGCATCACTGAGTTTGCGACCAGACAGCCCAAAGGCGACGCCAGCCTGCTGCAGGACGGGGTTCTGGCCGAGAAGCTCTCTCTCAAGCCCCACCAGGGCCCTGTGCTGCGCTCCAACTCCGTTCCCTAGGCGTTGGCCGGGACACCCACCCAAGACTCCTGCAATGCAAAAATGTACACGAACCAAGCCCGGGTGTTTTCTATCCCAGAAACCCTCCAACCACAATCTTTGCATGAAATGAAGAAAACCTTTTGACTGTTTTTTAAGACTTTTTTTTCTTTTCTCAAGTTCTAGGGGGCATTTGCACATATATTTGTACTCAACATTTCATGGGAAAGCGGCAGACCCGAGCTGAGGAACAGCATGGGCAGGGAGGGGAAGGCCCTGGTCTGGACACTTCCAGCACAACCTCTCACCCGCCTCCTGCTCCCTCCTCCTCGACCACCTGCCTGCTGTTGTAAAATAATCAGAAACTTGTTCTATTTTGTGGCAGTGACAATAGTTTTATATTAAAAGAAAAAAATACAGTTTTCATACAGCAAAATCTATACAATATCATTGTTTTATTTAATATAAAGATCGCTACCCACCCCTCCCATGGTCCCCCCTACAAGTTATTCTCCCTTTCTGCGGCGGTTGCACTACAGGTAGCTACTGTGTATGGACAAATGAGAAATGATTTCTTTTTCTGGCTGTCCATCTATTTTATTCAAATAAGGAAAAGTGTATTGGATTTTGTGTAAATACATCTAGTGATGCCATTTTTTCAATGTTTTTAAAGCTGTACAGTACATGTGGTAGAGTGTTTTTCTCAAATGTCTATTGTAGCGAAGGCGTTTTTGTCGTAAGCCTGTTGTGTGTCCTTTTCTGTTCTCGCCACTGCTCAGCCCAGCTCCTTCCCTCCTCCTCTCCACAACTAGTACCAATGTACATAGTAATTGTAATGTTTTAGACTTTACAGAAACTTTCCTGTATTCTGTATATAAAAAACCAAAAATACTTCAAATTATGTTTTCTGCCTGTCTGTCCTGCCTGTCATCACCTTAGAGGGGACCTTCCCTGGGATCTCACTTTTTGCACCCTTTGAACTATTATCAGTCTCAAGGAGCCTCCAAGGGAAGCTTGGTAGAGAAGGAAGATGTTAGAGGTGAGCCTAAGCTAGGAAAATGAAAAGGTGAGTACTTGGCTTTTAGGGGGTACTGTTTCTCTGGAGAATTGTAATAGGGTGAAATTCATTCTCTAGAATAGTGGTTCTCAGCCTTCCTAATGCTGTGACCCCTTAATACAATACCTGGTGTTGTGGTGACCCTCCACCATAAAATTACTTCATTGCTACTTCATAGCTGGAATTTTGCTACTGTTAGGAATCAATGTAAATATCTGACATGCAGGATATCTGATATGCAAACCCTGTGAAAGGGTCATTCGACACCTCCCCTCCAGGGGTCTCCACTCACAGGCTAAGGGCTGCTGCTCTCGACTCTGCAACCCTTAGTGTACTGTGAACGTAATGCAGCAAGTATCTAAAGCCTGGGGCATCCTCACCAAGGCAAACTCGCCACTTTCTTCTCGGAGACTAAGGTGATTTCTCAGGAAGTTCTTCTGGAGAACAGTCTCCCAGAAAACACCTGTGTTCTGACACTGTTCTAAGTGATACCTACTCACGCACTAGTCTATGCTGAGGTTTGAGGATGAGTTTTTTTTTTTGTTTTTTTTTGTTTTTTTTTTTTTTTGGTTTTTCGAGACAGGGTTTCTCTGTGTAGCTTTGCACCTTTCCTGGAACCCACTTGGTAGCCCAGGCTGGCCTCAAACTCAGAGATCCGCCTGCCTCTGCCTCCCAGGTGCTGGGATTAAAGGCGTGCACCACCACTACCCAGCGAGGATGAGTTTTTACACCCACAGCATCTACAGTTGTGCTCCAAGTACACAGTGCAGTTAAATAGAGAGTTTCTCTGGTCTCAGAAATCTGACCCTGGCTGCAAACTCCTGGTGTAGTTTTTTCCAAGCCATCTACTGCCACTGCAGGAAAGACTCCTAAAGGCAGGCGCTCTGTAGTCCCCTCAGTGTCAGCAGGTTATCCACACCGCTAGGCATGTCATAATTGTCAAACATCAAGTGTTTAGTCACTGTCCTAGGCAAGGTCCTTCCCACCCGGAGTGCCTGCACCCACGCCTCCCTAGCTGTCCCCGTCCATCTTACCCTCAGTCACTCCTCCTGAGTAATGGAGTGTCCATGTACTTCTGCTACCTGTGATAACTGTTCCAGAGACAAATTACCTCCTGACACTGTCTCTTTCTTTCCTTTGGAAGGCAGGGGTCAGGTGGAGGAGCATACCTGTAATACTATTTTGGAGGTTTGAGGCAGGAGCATCTCAAGTTTTAAAACCAGCCTGGGCTACCGAGAGAAACTACCTCAAAAACAGAGAAAGGTCAGGTGAAGTCATGGAGTCAGGAAATCACATAGTAGAATCCGGACAACCCTGTCTGCCATGGTGAGAAGCCTCACTGGCCTGAACCGGGAGAGTCCTAGAAGCTGCAGGCTGGGATAATGAAAGGATGAGAAATTAAAGAATCGGTTCATTGAAGGGAAAGCATCCAGGACCGACTCCAAATACACGGGCTCATTCATGTACATAGGACTCCAGACTGAGACACTGAGCTACATACTCACACCTAGAGTAAACAGAGATGTTCATTCAGTCACACGCGTTGGTGGAGACTACAGATGCAGGCACAGCCTGGAGGGACTCCCGCCATGGGCACAGACGCCTACGCAGTGCTCTCACACCGGCGCGCGCCCAGAATCCAGAAGCACGCCCAAACCCTGAGCGGTGATCTTAAGGCCACGGGCATGCACACACCCACCAGTCCCTCACGCACATGTTTCCTGTACCTACCTGGCACACGCTCCGGGGAGTTCACGAGCCTAGGGGGCGCTCCCAGGGCCCCAAAGATGTTCGCCCAGGCACGCCGCCAGGGCACGCAGACGCACGCCTAGGGGGCGCTCGCACGGCCCACGCGCGCGCGCGCACACCCCTGCACAACCTCCCGCCTGCCGCCGCCCTCGCGAGGCCGAAGCGGGAGCGACGAGGCCCGGGCGGGAGTCGGGAGCGCAGCCGGCATGGAGACGCTGCTGCTGGGCGCCGGGCTGCTGCTGGGCGCCTACGTGCTTGTCTACTACAACCTGGTGAAGGCCCCACCGTGCGGCGGCATCGGCAGCCTGCGGGGCCGCACGGCCGTGGTCACGGGTGAGTTCGCGCGGGCGGGCGGCGGGGAGGCCGGGCGGGTGGCCGCGGCCCGACCGGCTCAGCTGGCTCCCGCCCGCCGCCCGCAGGCGCTAACAGCGGCATCGGGAAGATGACAGCGCTGGAGCTGGCGCGCCGGGGAGCGCGCGTGGTGCTGGCCTGCCGCAGCCGGGAGCGAGGGGAGGCGGCCGCTTTCGACCTCCGTCAGGTGAGGCCACCGGGGGACGCGGGGCGCGGTGAGCCTGGGACACGGAGGGCGGAGCAGAGCGACTCGAGGAATCGAGATCAGAGAGGAGAGAGCCGCACCGCCTCTTAAACACTGAAGAGGATGTGGGGACACACAGGGGAGGAACATCAGAACCAAATCCCGGAGGAGACGTACAGAAGAAAGGAGTCGCTAGTCTTGAGATGGTTAAGGATCAGAAAGAGTTAATGAAGCCAGGTGTGGTCCCAGCCCAGGGCCAGGAGCTCAAGGCCATCCTGGGCACTGGAAAGACAAGGAAGGAAATGGTTAGGCTAATGAAGAGCCCCAGAAAGAACAGCAGGTGCAAATGCCCTGAGACAAGAGAGTCTGATTTAGGGAGCGGGGGATGAGAAGAGCAATGTCCTAAAGGGGCTCTGAGCCACAGCCAGCTTCTGGAGGCCTTTACAGATCCCATCGAGGAGTTTAAGACAGCTGAGCTCCGAGAAGACTCTTCAGTAGGCTCTGGACCGACCATCCCGATGGCTTTTTGGAATGAAGTACTCCTAGCTGTGTGGTACCCAGACTGCAGAGGACAGGAGTAAGAGGGCCGGTCTCAGCACACACCTTTAATCCTAGTGCTTGAGAGGCAGAGACAGGTGGATTTCTGTGAGTTCAAGACCAGCTAGGACCACATTGTAAGACCCGGTCTCAAAAAAAAAAGGGGGGGGGGCGGGTTAAGTCTCTTAAGAAAACTTGTAGCCTGGCAGTGGTGACACATGCCTTTAATCCCAGCACTCGGGAGGCAGAGGCAGGCGGATCTCTGTGAGTTCGAGGCCAGTCTGGGCTACAGAGTGAGTTCCAGGAAAGGCGCAAAGCTACACAGAGAAACCCAAGAAAGAAAAGAAAAGAAAGAAAAAAAGAAAGAAAGAAAGACAACTCGTTACAGCTGGTCATGGTGCACACCTGTAATTCCAGCAGAAGAGGCTGAGGAAGGGAACTCATGAGTTCCAAGGCAGCCTGGGCTACAGAGCAGAAGCTGTCTACAACAGGCGATAGGCTGTATGTAGTAGATTTTAAGATAAATGATAACAGAGAGAGGAGATGATAATAGCAAATATCTGCACAGTGCTGACTGAATATTGTACATGTACATGTAATATTTTACATTAACTCTAGCTCAGGCAGGTCTTGAATTCATGATCATTTTGCCTCAGACTCCTGAGTAACTAGGATAACCAGTGTATGCCACCACACCAGACATAACATGTATTTTATCTGACTTAATCTTCACAATTCTTTTTCTTCCAGTAGAAAGTTTTACTATATTATCATCATCATCATCATTATCATCATCATCTCATTTTACAGTGGGAAAACAGAGACCCAAAAAGATTAAGTATCTTATCTGAAGTCGCACTCTAGTTAGAGGCAAAGTTGAGATTTGAATCCACACACCCATTACATACACTCTGAGGCACTGGGACAGGTTTTAGTCATAGTGGGTAGGCTCTCAGATGCCTGGAAGAGGGAGAAGGAGGGAGGTACCTGGTAACAATCCTAGCCCTTGCTGCTCCACAGGAGAGTGGAAACAATGAGATCATCTTCATGGCCTTGGACTTGGCCAGTCTGGCCTCAGTACAGGCCTTTGCCACTGCCTTCCTGAGCTCTGAGCCAAGGCTGGACATCCTCATCCACAATGCAGGTGAGAAGCAGCAGGCCCTGCAGGGGGGTGGCTGGTGGCCTGGAGAGGTAAGCTTGACCTCACCAGGGGCCAGCAGACTCGTCTCGCAGATGGGGATTCCCTGAAACAGCAACTCATGCCTGGCTTCTGCCCTAGGGATCAGTTCCTGTGGCCGGATTCGGGAGGCCTTTAACCTGCTGTTGCGAGTGAACCACGTTGGGCCCTTTCTGCTGACACACTTGTTGCTACCCCGCCTGAAGTCATGTGCCCCCAGCCGTGTGGTGGTAGTGTCCTCGGCCGCCCACCGGCGCGGTCGCCTCGACTTCACACGTCTGGATTGCCCAGTGGTGGGCTGGCAGCAGGAGCTTCGGGCATATGCTGACAGCAAACTAGCCAATGTGCTGTTTGCCAGGGAGCTTGCCACCCAGCTTGAGGGCACTGGGGTTACCTGCTATGCGGCCCACCCAGGTGAGGCCTGACTGCTCTCAATTGCCTGTCATCTGTGTACCGTTACCTGTGCTAGTCCCCAGTCTGTTGAGTCACAGGATGGAAACACTGTCAGGGAGAAACCTGTTCCTTTCTGATCTTGGAACCAGGCTCTCCCCTCACCTGTTTTCTTCCTTTCCTACCTACAAGCTTGGATGCTGACCAGGTGGGGAATAAGAACAAGACCTTAGGGTTGGGGATTTAGCTCAGTGATAGAGCGCTTGCCTAGCAAGGCCCTGGGTTCGATCCTCAGCTCAAAAAAAAAAAAAGAACAAGACCTTGATAGTAACTCTGAGGGCTAGCGCTGCATTTCAGTGGTAGAACACTTGCTTTAGTAGAGGTAAGGCCCTGAGTTTGTACTGTTTGCTTGCTTACTTGGGTATTTGTTGGTTTTGTTTTGTTTTGAGACAGGGTCTCACTATGTAGCCTTGGCTGTCCTCAAACACTCAGAGATTTACCTGCTTCTGCCTCCAGAGTGCTGGGATCAAAGGTGTGGGTCACCATGCCTGGCTTCATTTTGTTTTTTTGTTTGTTTGTTTTGTTTTTGTTTTTTCGAGACAGGGTTTCTCTGTGTAGCTTTGGAGCCTGTCCTGGAACTCACTGTGTAGCCCAGGCTGGCCTCGAACTGACAGAGATCTGCCTGCCTCTGTCTCCTGAGTGCTGGGATTAAAGGTGTGCGCTACCACCACCCAGCAAGTTTTTGTTGTTGTTGTTTGTTTTTTAATGTGTGTATATTAGTGTTTTTTTGGCATGTGTGTGTGTGGTACCTGTATAGGCCAGAACCCTCTAGAACTGTAAAGAGTTAGGGATGGCTGTGGGCATCCATGTGGGTGCTGGAAACCAGCCTGGATCCTCTACAAGAGCAGCCAGTGCTCTTAACCACTGAGCCATCTCTTTAGCCCCTGGTTCGTTGGTTTTTGTTTTTTATTTATTTATTTATTTGTTTGTTTGTTTTAAAGATTTATTTATTTATTATGTATACAGCATGTATGACTGCAGGCCAGAAGAGGGCACCAGATCCTGTCACAGATGGTTGTGAGCCACCATGTGGTTGCTGGGAATTGAACTCAGGACCTCTGGAAGAGCAGTCAGTGCTCTTAACCTCTGAGCCATCTCTCCAGCCCTGTTTTTGTTTTTTTTTTTTTTTGTTTGTTTGTTTTTTTTTTTTTTTGAAACACTGTTTTACTCTGGAGCTCAGGTTGGCCTGACATTGTATGTAGCTCAGTTAAGCCCCAAATTTACCCTATTTGTCTTGCCTCATGCTTAGATTTCAAGTGTAGGCCACATGTCAAGCTGAGACCCTGGGTTTGATCACCAACACCATCAAAAAAAAAAAAGTTATGATGGTGATGATGATAAATTACCATTTAGTCAAGGAGCCCTTTCTTTGTGGCAGCCGCTATACAATAGGCATTATGGTGCTGGAACAAAAGCAGTGAGCCAACCTTGGTCTCAGTTCAATCTCCAGGACCTAAAAATTATGCAAAGGAAAATAAAGATCTGCCAGGTGTGGTGGCACGAATGTTTAATCCCAGCACTCAGAGCTCTATAGTGGGAACCCTGTCTCTCTGGACAAAAACAAAAACCAAAGACTTGACCCTCCTATCCAGTGACAGGTGATAATAAAATGATGAGGAAGGGAGGCATAAGAGAGGTCTAGAGTTCTCAGGATGTTTTGTTTTTGTCAGTGACAGTCAAGGAAGAGGTTTGTAAAGGGAAGAATTGAACACGGATCTGAATGAGATAAAGGGATCTTTGAAGCTCAGAAAGCAATCAGCAGACGCAAAGGCAGAAGTTCCTGGTGTGCTGTAGGATAGCTGTGAGGAGAACAGAGAGAGTGGGATGACAGGGAAGAGACAGGTCACAGAGATGGGCTTGAGTTTGAAGGGTTGGAAGGTCCACTTGACTATTTTACTCTGAGTAAAATGACTGGTCTTTAAAAGACCGTGAATCATGATCATCTTTAGACACTAGGTTATAATAGGCCAACAACATCTGTCCTGCCCAGCTCTCCAAACTGCATTTGAGAAAACCACTGCCCAAGGCTCCTTTGTAATTACAGTAGCAGTACTACTAGGAACCTTTATTAAGCTTTTATTTCAATTACAGATCCCTGGCATTCAAAACAGTGGCTGATAGACCCAAGGTGCTTAAAAACTGATGGTTAAAGCCAGCCCTTGGTGGCGCACGCCTTTAATCCCAGCACTCGGGAGGCAGAGGCAGGCGGATCTCTGTGAATTGGAGGACAGCCAGGGCTACACAGAGAAACCCTCTGTGGGGGGGGGGGGGGCGGGGCGGGAGATACAACAAAAAAGATGAATGAATGATGGAGATTGGGCAGCAGAGGACACAGCCTGGGGGATGGGAATGTTCAGGCCATTAGGATGGTAGTACAGGCTTCCGGTAGGAAATGGGTTAAGTCACCTCGTGGAGTCCCTGAATACCTGATTGGTACTAACCTGCTTTCCCTGGGGCCCCACGGCGATCCTCCACAGCTCTTCTTTCTTCCTCCACAGGACCTGTGAACTCCGAGCTCTTCCTGCGTCACCTCCCCGGATGGCTGTGTCCTATATTGCGCCCACTGGCTTGGCTGGTACTCCGGGCCCCTCAAGGGGGTGCCCAGACACCCCTGTACTGTGCTCTGCAGGAGGGCATTGAGCCCCTCAGTGGGAGATATTTTGCCAACTGCCGTGTGGAGGAGGTCTCCCCAGCTGCTAGAGATGACCAGGCTGCCCACAGGCTATGGAAAGCTACCAAGAAGCTGGCAGGGCTTGGGCCTGGAGAGGATGATGATAGCCCTGATGAAGAGCCCCGACCTCAGGAGGATCTAGGGGCCCCATCTTCTCTGGATGCCCCCAGCTCTGAGAAAACCACAGTTTCTGGACCTTCTCAGAGCTCTCAGGGCTCACCAGACTTGTCTACATTGACACAGCGAAGAATTCAGATGAAGGCTGAGCCTACACACTAACTTTCCTAACCCGTCGGCTAGAATGCTTCTGTAGTGCAGTAGGACCCCTCAAAACCTCAGCTGTGTGCCTGGCCACGGAGGGGTTGCCACATTTACCTTGGTGGTTCAGTTTGGGGACCTCTTATGTCCTAAACAGCCCTTTTCCTAGTGAAAGGAAATAAGTACTACTTCCTAAAACGGACAGTAATCCCAGGTCCAGGGATGATATGTCAAGACACTGGATTGCTTTTGGAATTTGATTTTCCGGTTTCTGGGCTCTTCCCTGAATAATGATCCGCCCCGGGGAAGGGCTGGGGACTTTGCCGCTGATGCACTGTTGATGTTGAACGTTCCTGAACCAAGGGAGCCCTTTGCAACTTTCTAGCTAGGTAGTTCCTTGACCCCCATTTTACCGAGGCAGGACTAGGAAAGGACTCAGGGCAGAGACTGGTTATTTGAGCCCCGGGGTCTGCTGTAAGGCAGGTGCCCGAGGGGACGCCGCTCAAGGAGTTACTACTACTGATGGGCCCCAAAGGTGCTAGGGGGGCCAAGCCCCCTGGAATAAAGCGAGTTGACCACAGACGCGCAGGCTCCCGCCTCTCTCCACTCGCCGGCCCCGCCCTCCGCCGCCGCCACACTTCCGGCGGGGCCGCAGCCGCGGAGGGGCGTAGGCAGGCGACGCGGGGGGAGGCGGGATAGGCTGGGCGCGGCCGGTGCTGCGGACCCGCCACAGCCCTCCGGGTCACTGCAGACCGAGGGCCTGCTTGCCTACCTGCGGCGCCATGGGCAATTGCCACACGGTAGGGCCCAACGAGGCACTGGTGGTCTCAGGTGAGGCGACGGGGAGGGCGGGGGAGGCCGGCCGAGGGTGCGGGACCCCGGGGCCGCCCCGAAGCCAGCCCCCCAAGAGCGGTATCCCTCCCCACGGCGTGGCCTCGGGCGCTCAGCCCTTCCTCTCCTCCGCGGTGGGTTGGGGGCTTCTAATGTGTGTGGGTCCCAGTGCACGGTCGCGTAGCTCTGGAAGGCAGGTGCCTGGCCGGGAGGGCCGGAGGCACGGGTTCCTCTTTTCCGGGTAAGGCAGACCCGTTAATTCCGAGCAGGCTGGGGCTTGCCAGGACTTACTGGCATCGACCTAGCGCCCTGGAAACGCTGGTGCGGCCTCTACTGTTGGGTAACCGGGCTCTGGCCTGTAGAGCTCTAGATTACAAAATGCTGCACGCTCTAGCTTTGACTGGGTGGGGCTGGGGGACTACCGCATTGGGAGCCTTAGGGCTGATGTTTATGTAGGTGGTATATTAGGATGTCTTAGGAGGCAGCTAAAGCTACCTGGGGTCCTGTTGCATGCTAGCTCGCTGTATCTCTTCCCACCATCAGCACTGATTTTCAGCGTGTATGCAGAATTACCAAGGCTGGCTGCCAAAAGGGGAGGTAGAAGCCCCGAGCCAGGGCTTCTGGCTGCCATTCTTGGGGAGTGGTAATGAATCCACTGGGCCCTCAGATTGGGATCTCAAAATCAGTCTCTTTACTGAGACATCCTCACAGTCTCCAACCCGGACCCTGCCCCAGTGGGAGAAATACGATACCCCATCTCATTAAAGACTAGAAGTCGGGGTTAGAAGGGAACACACAGAGGCCAACTTTGGCATCCGAAAGCCCAGGCTCGTCTCCCCCCACCACCCATACCTAAAGATGGTTTTTGGAGCCGTATAATAATTTGAGTGGGTTTGGGTTTCCAGGTTTTTTTTGGGGGGGAGGGGCTAGTTTGTTGTTGTTGTTGTTTGGGTTTGGTGGTTTTTGTTTTTTTTTTTTGGAAGGTTACTTTTATTATTTTTAAGTGTGTTTGTGTGTCTGGGGATATGTGTAGGTGAGTGCAGGTGCCCACAGAGGCCCCAGGTGTTGAATCCCTCTGGAGCTGGAGTTAGAGATGATTATGAGCCACCTGACATAAGTACTAGGCATTGAACTTGGATCCTCTGGACGAGCAATATGTGCTCTCAACCTCTGAGCCATATCTTCAGCCGGTGTTTCTTTGTTTTGGGAGAAAGACTTTCTTGGTGCCCCTGCCTGGAACTGTGTAAACAAGGTTGACTTGGAGCTTGCAGTGATCTTCCTGCCTCTGACTCCCCACTGACGGGATCACCACCACACCCAGCTTGGTTTCGTGTGAGTGTGCTTATGGTGCTGGGAACCAAACCCTGAGAACTCAACTCATGCTGGTCAATCACTGTGCCGCACTCCTCAGGCCTAGAAGGCTTCTAGACACCAGCATCTGGGGTTCAGCAGGTAAGGGAGATTGCACCAAGCCTGATGATCTGAGTATAACCCCCAGGACTCAGGAAGGAACCCACTACTGTAAGAGATCCACACGCATGTACACACACACACACACACACACACACACACACACAATGCTGAAAATGTTTTCTTTCAATGGGTATGGTAGCACACGCCTTTAATCCCGAGCACTTGGGAGGCACAGTCTGGCAGATCTCTGAGTTTGAGGCCATAGCCAGGGCTGTCAGAACATAGAAATGAAAATTGTTTTCAACGAATAAATCAGAAGAAACCGAAGTCTGAGGCTGGAGAAATGGCTCAGTTAAGAGCACTTCCTGCTGTTGCAGGGGACCAGGGTTCCATTTCCAGCCCCCACACTGCAGCCAGCAGCTCTCCACCTCCAAACCCGGGCCAGACACCCTCTTCTGGCCTCCTTGACACTGTACACAAGTGGTGCACAGACACACATGCAGGCAAAAACCTACACACACAAAAGTAAAATAAAATCTCAAAGACAGGTAGTGTGGCACATGTCTTTAGTCTCAGCACTCAGGAGGCAAAGGCAGATCTCTGTGAGTTTGAGGCCAGCCTGGTCTACAGAGCGAGATCCAGGACAGACAGGGCTACACAGAGAAACCCTGTATCGAGGGGGAAAAAAATCTCAAAGACAAACAAAACCAGAGTCTGCACTGCACTTTTTCTTACGATTTTTCAGGAAGCCCAGACTCTGGGCTGAGGAGACCAAAGCTTGGGTTCTGCCCTATGGAAAGCCTGGCGACTCCGAGGTGAGCGGAGGCCCCGAGATGGGTTGCTGTGCACATTTTCTACTTTCTCGGTGGCCTGCTCTCAGGCCAGAGCAATGCAGTGCTAGACTGGGAACTGTTCTGAGAATCAAGGATGGGCACAGGGTTGGAGGACCAGGGAGGGGGTGTCTTAGCATAATAGTACCTTGGGACTTGAGGTAATGCCAGACTCAGTGCCCTCTTTTTTTTTTTTTTTTTTTAAGTTTTATTTATTTATTTTATATGTATTGGTGTTTTGCCTGCATGAGTCTGTGCTCCACATGCTTGAGTTACAGAGAGTTGTGAGCCTCCATGTGGGTGCTGGGAATTGAACCTGCGTCCTCTAGAAGAACAGTCAGTGCTCTTAAATACTAAGCCATCTCTCCAGCCCCCCAGTGCCCTCTTTTGAATGGATTCCCAGAACAGAGCAGAGCGACCGCCCCCTCTGGTCTGTGTGTCCCTTGAACTTGCGTCTAAGTCCAGAGGCGCTTGGCCATGTTTCAGGAGAAGCTGTTAATTCCGGTGGTCCTCTTTTACATTCCTTGTTATTGTCCAGCCTCCCTCCATCATTCTGTAACACACAACTGCTTTCTCCTTCTAGTGTCAGAAATTTTATTTGTTTAGGGCTGGAGGTGTAGCTTAATTGTGCACAAGGCCAAAGCATATCTCTAACCCCAGCACTTGGGGTGGGGGTGGGGAGGCAAGAGAATCAGAAGTTTAATGTTATTTTTGTCTGCATATAGAGTTGGAGGATAGCTTGGGCTACATGAGGCCTTTGTGTGTGTGTGTGTGTGTGTGTGTGTGTGTGTGTGTGTGTGTGTGTGTGTATTCCTACCTTAAAAACATTTTAAAGGAGGCCTGGAGAGATCACTCAGCAGTTAAGAGCACACAGGCTGTTCTTCCAGAGGATCAAAGTTCAGTTCCAAGCACCCACATGGCAGCTCACACCTGTTTGTAACTTCAGTACCAGGGGATCTGGCACCCTCACACAGACATCCATGCAGGTGAAACACGATGCACATAAAATAAAAATAAACCATTTTTTAAATTAATAAAAAGACACAAATGTCTTTAAAAAAAATTGAGGAGAGGCTGGGGTGTGACTGGCAGAGTACTTGCCTAGCACATGTAAGAGTTAAATCTTAGCACCAGTAATTACAGTGATGAACACCCAAGCGTAATCTCGGCACATAGGTGATTAAGACAAGAGGAACAGAAGAGAAAACAGGAAAGTTTTAGGGTTTGTTTGTTTGAGACAGGATCTCACTACATAGATCAGGCTGGCCTCCCAACTCACAGAGATCCACCTGCCTCTTAAGTGTTAGGGTAACAGGTGTATGCCACCATGCCCAGCTTAAGAAAAGAAAATTTTAAGGAAAAACTTTCCATTGGGAAAGGGGGAACCATAACTGATAGTTAATATTTCCTATGATTGTGTCAGCACAAGCCAGGATCCTACGGCGGATATTTACCTACCACCCCGAAGCTGCGGGCACCTTGTTAGCCGTGCGGTGGTGGTGCACGCTTTTAATCCCAGCACTCAGGAGGCAGAGCCAGGTGGATCTCTGTGAGTTCGAGGCCAGCCTGGGTTACAGAGCAAGATCCAGGATAGGCACCAAAACCACATGGAGAAACCCTGTCTCAAAAAAAGGAAGAAAAAAAAAAAAAGCTTTTTTCATATATTGTCTATTTTGTTTTTCTAGCAGTTCATTAGCTTCTGTTATTTTTTCTTAGGTATTTGATTTGATGCATGTATAGACATTTTTAGAATGAGTCCTTAGATACAGCTGGATTATTAAAAGGGTTTGTTCACGAGGCATGCTGGTTCATCCCTGTAATGCCAACACTGAGGAGACAGGAGAACTCGTATTCACTGCAAGTTCCAGGCCAGTTGGAACGCCATAGTAAACCCTGCTGTAAAAACAAACAACCGGCTGCATAGAAGGCCCAACGGGAAATGTCTTACCCACCCTACCCAGGACCCATGGAAAAAGTGGGTGCTGCAGCATTGCTTGTAACGCTAGTGACTCTAGTGTTGGGGAGCAGAGACAGGAGGAGGTGTAACTCCACGGCCAGCCAACCTAGCTAAAACAGTGAGCTTTGGAGTCGGTGAGGGTGTCTGGATGGATGGATGGATGGAGAGAGAGAGAGAGAGGGAGAGATAAAGAAGGTGAAGTGTTTGAGGTAAGACATTCCAGTGCCAATCTCTGGCCTTCATATGAGCCTGCATGGACAAGTGTACACACACACACACACACACACACAATGGTGCTTGGGCTAAGAGGCTGCTGGGAGTAGGGGCAGTTTGCCATGTCCCAGCTTCCTGTTACTGCCTCTGGGAACCTGGCATGTTGCCCTCGGCTACAGCCAAGCATGATCTGTGACAGACGCTCCTAAGGCCAAAGAGTAATTAAAGGTAAAGGGTAGACACCCACCACCCTGTCCCACGGGTCCCCCACAGCTACTGCCTATTCCGCAGTGTATTGAGAAGTCTCCTAAAGCTGGTCAAAGGCAGCCGTGTCCC